ATGTTTGGCGCGCGGCCGAGAGCCCCCAAAGGTTAACGATCCTCCTGACGGTGTACGGAAAGAAATCGATTGAACGCGGAACGGAGTCGTCACCGAGCTGCTCGCCGGCTCGGCTTTCACTTATCCGAGATCATAAGACGGATTACGCGTTATCGGACCACGTCACCCTCGAGAGCGCCCGACAGCGATGCAGCTTGCCAAATTGGCACGACACGCGTCCGTCAAATTCAAGTACGCGAAAAAGAAAAGTTAGTCTCCACACCGCGCAATGTCGTAGATCAGAAACTGCTTCTTCAGAAAGATAAAGCAAAATTTATTCTTCGCAATACCGAGCAGCTTCGACGAATCAATCAATATTTAATACATTGCTTCGATTTTTTACGTTATCGCTGTCACGGCAAAAGCTTCCATATTCGTAAAAGAAAAAAAAAAAACATTATCGGGACTATACGCACGCGACGAGCACAAAGGATTAAAGCGTAAATCAAATCCACCAGCGATATATCGGCCGTGTGAAAACTCGCGCGGATGAAGCGCCGGCGCGACGTTCCGTCATCCGAAATCCGAAGTCCGATCGGAGGATGTGGACCCCGACTATGATCGACGATGTACAACCGCACGCGTTATCTATTTATACGGTCTATTTATACGTAACGTCAGACGTCGCGCGAACGGCCGCGAGAAACGAGAGTATCGCTCTTGCTGACGAGCGAAGCGCGAAGTGTTCACGATGCTATTGACCAGAGCGGTGCTTCTGAAACTGCTCGTGACCATCATCGCGAAATAAATTCCGCCATCGGTATTTAATTTTTTTCAGCATTCATTTAAGCATCGTTATTACGATTATTGTACTCGCAAATCTAGTAGAAATAATATTATTTCGATAAACGAAAAAGAAACAACACGATACGTGTTTGAGCGCAAAATTCGCTATCTACTGGCTGGTTTGTTAGATTTTTCATACATTCTTGAACGTAACATTCATATCACCGTTACTCGTAAATTAATAATGTATGAGTACGTTTCTACACTGATTAAAATTAAAGCCCGGCATCCGCATGTTGCGATATTTAATTCTCAATTTTCTCGCGAATGATTGTAGAATATCGATCGAACAGATGGAGGTGACAGAAAAAAAAAAATGACATACTTGCGCGGTTATCTATAATTGCCAAAGATGCACTCCGACGCAAGCCGTTAGTTAGTGCCCGTTATCCGGCCGAACCGTTCGATTTTGCCTGGCAAAGCCGGAATGATGATTGCCATGCTTTGCGCTGCAGCGCGAACGACAACGCGGAATTAATTTTCGAAGCGAGAAAGAGCGAGTGCACGGCGAAATCAATCAGCAATTTCTAATTACACAGTACGCGTAAGATAACTTCGTCTGCGCGGGGTAATTGTAGAGTCGATCGCGGTAATTGCAATCGTGGATACAAGAGTGGAAAATTAACAATCGTCTCAGCAATTAAAAATGTAAACTAATATCAATTTTATTAAGGCAAACACCGTGGAATCATGTTCGCTGAAATTACTCCGTTTTAAAGGTGTATCCGTCAATTAAAACGAAACATCGAATTCTACTCTTTACTTTTCTCCATTTAAGGAAAACTGAACATGACGTGCATGAATTTAAGAATAGTAAATATTTAAAAATCCATAAATTATAGCACTATCTGCTTTCAACGTCAAAATGTCATGATAAATTTGAAGATAAACTGAGATATTTTAGCGCTATTGTGTTCTATTGTGTAGTGCCGACCTCATTAGCTAAGAGACAATTGCTCTTGAAAAGATTTACATTCTCGAAATTGGCAACTGAGTTGCTGAATGTGCACAATGTGAGCTTCGCGATAACAATTACACCCAAGACGAATGCTAAACACCTGAAGTATATACAAGAAATGCCAATACACTTGATTGATCAGAAGAATGACTACATACTGATAACAAACAAACTATGATGACAGATGCCTGACATGTTTGATCTGCGCGCTGATCCGAAGAAGCAATAATAAAAAACATCTACGACATAAAAAAAATCAATCAATACGATAAATATCCTTGATCATCAAACAAGATAATCATCGAATATCTTCCACGGTTATCAAAGAAAAAAGCTAAGAAGCAATTTTATTCCACATTAGAAATTAATTAGATATAATTCGGCAGCTAAATATTAAGTGAACATTTTAAAACAGTGTAAAGAGTATCATAGTGATATAATTTAAGATTTAGGTAAAAAATAAAGATATTTGTGAGAAAAGATCGCTCAAGATCCTGGTAAAACATTTTACTCGTGAATAATTGAATTAATAATCAGATTGAGATGATAATTACTTAATAAAAATAATACATAGGGAGTTGAAATAATTGTGTGTGAGAGGCCCAATTATTCCAAATATAAGGTTACTCCAAGATCAGATAAGAGCACGAAGGGAGCAGGGCTCGTGCGAGGAACGTCAGTATCAGCCTGAGAGATCGCGCGGTCTTGAAGGCTCGCCGAGCAGCTGTTTCCGCGAGCAGTCGCGACCTATTTAAACGGTCGTCCGAGAAAAATTCCTATCGCCGGAATGTGTTTCGTGTGCAGTCGGCGCGCGGGAAGCTGGCAACTGAAGATTTTACGAGAAACTCTCCTGTACAGTTAATCGGCCGGCGCGTACGACGTCCACCTTCTTCTACGTATTAATGCGCTTAACCGGTACTGTTAATTGGCTCGCTCTGTCAAACTCTATCAGTTCCCAGACCAAGCTGGACGTGGGCGAGTAAAACTCCAACGAGAGACGGTGTACTTTCTTATTTTCACACCTCGTAAAAATGTGCTGTAGAGAGAAACGCGGAGAGAAATCTATGTTTTAACGAAAATTTTGTACATCGATAATAATCTTTTAATTGTAAATATTAAAGATTTTTTATAATTAATTTGGAAAGCCACATATTTCGACAATGTTTATTTTCAATCAATTGTTTTTCTACTGTCGAATATAATCACACAATAAATAATTTAGAATAAAGTTAATTAATGTTACTTGCTGACTTGCGACACGCAAATAAAAAGACTAATAATTTTATATCTTATTTTTTTATGCTTCTGTGTAAATAATATTTTGTTTCTTCAAATAAAAAAGTATATTGTTCGTTTATTAAGCTTGTTCCTTGCGAAAAAGTAAAACAAAATTAAAAAATTAAAAGTATAGGATGTGAGTTCTGTTTCTCATGAAACATTTCCTTCCTTCCGCTCCGAATTCACAGAACCACTCCAATGCCGTCATAGCGTCATTTGAAACGAGGAAATTTCGCGTGTAAGCTTTTCCATGAAACGCGAACAAACCTGCGGTACGGTAATCGTATGGTTCGACGAACGGAATTTTCGGCGCCGACGCCGCGCAAATCTCGGCGTCGGCAATGCGGGTTTTCGGGCCGCGTTTCCGGAACGGAGTACGCGGATCTCTAAAATTAGAGGCGTTACGAAAAATGTACGGCCGACGCGACGTCGAGCGCGGTGATCCCCCAGGGTTTATTGGCGTACGCGTAACCATTATCAGCGTCGCTTATCTAATGCCCGACTCGATGCCGTCGTCGTTGTATAGCGCAATCCAACGTGCATCGCGCGTACCGCAAAAAAAAAGTGAAAAAGAAGACGGCTTCGAATGACGACGCGGCGAGTCATCGTGAAAATCTCGCTCGCGATCGTGACTCATTGCTCGATTATTTTTGTCATAAAGTCTGAAAATACAATTCGAAGGGCTGCGGCTAATATATATGAGAGGGGCGGGGGTCCGAGAAAGCCTTGAGCTCCTGCCAAAAATGAGGAAAACACTTGCAAACGCATACTCGAGAATGCTCCAATTTATCAGTATCTAATGACGCTACGTCGAATGCACGAAATAAAGTTGCAAATGAGAGCTATTAAAAAAATTCTGCACAAAACGTTTCACTTAATCGGAGGTTTGTATTTCCATTGCCGTTTCTATCAGCGCTATAGTCCTATCATCTGAATTTTATCGCCTATCATAATGCTAATTCTATCCAAACAAAGATAAAGTTGCACTTCAAATCTACTGAAATGGATTTTTAATGTTATCAGCTTTTTCTGAAAACGGCTTCTCAAGTGTCATTAAATAATTGCAAGGAATTAATTCCTTGCACTTTGTCTAGAATTCGAAAAATTTTTTTTATGAGAAGAATTCAATTTGATTGTGCATGGAAATTAACTGGATTATTAAATGTTAATTGTATTGTACCTGTTTTAAATTCGTATTTTATAATTTAATGTCTATCTTTAATTAGTTCACATTAATCTGTATTAGCTCTATCAAACTTTTGGCAAAAGAGAAAATCATGAAATATTACTCGCATTTATTTCATGCTTACGGATTATTATGTTTATACAGCGAAGAGTCTATTACAAGAAGGATACATAAAAACGACACAGCTCCTCGTGTTAACATAAATCACGTTATTACTACGATCAATTACGTAAGCATTCGCTTGCTACAATTGTTTTGATAAAACTATATCGTAATCTCAAGAAACTCGTACAAACCAGATACTGCGTCCTCTAATTAGACAAATAATTTTCACTAAACACAATATTGACTCTTGTGTTTACTCCTTACTTGTTCTTTTAGTTGCCTCTTTAGAGCTGTACTTTTTCTATTTCATCGTTCACGCGACACCAGTGTCATAAACAAAGAGTTAAATCGGTATGTCAAACGGCATGCTCGAAACGTGAAAAAATAGACGATCTCGTAAATACGCCGAAAACACGATCACGTAATAATTTTTTTGGCACACCATTACTGAAGAAAAGGAACGTGAACAGCGGTAAAAAAATGCGGAGTGGAAAAGTTGCGTGATAAACGCGCGACTGGTTTCCCGGTCTAATTCCGGAGCGGTCAGGCCCTCGGGGCCGAAAAATTCGTGGCCGCTAGTCCGAAGGTGGGCGCAAAAGGAAGAAAGAAGAAAAGAGAAAAATCTCGACTATGATAACACTCGCTCACCTTTTTCTGCTGTTTCTCCCAGGCGGGGTCCAAGAGACCCTCCCTCTCCCATTCCTCCTCCGGTGCCATGTATCCATCCCCGTAGGCTTCCATGTCGTTCATCCTCTCGCTCGTGTGCGTGTCTCACGTTCCTTCAAACACAAAACGCCAAAAACGTGGTTGTCACACGACTCGTTACAACGCTCGCCCCGTCACAACGAGAAAGATTCAGCGACTGAATAGAGAGAGAGAGAGAGAGAGAGAGAGAAAGAAGAAGAAGAGAGAGTGAGAGAGAAAAGAATAGAACCCGCGAGAAACGGTCTCCGAACGCTTCTCCGAACGGTCGAGAGAAACGCTCGATCGAAGATCGATGTGTCCCCTCGGCGTACGTACGCACGTACGTACGTTCGTTTCGGTGACAGCGACGCGTGTACCGAGAGTGAA